GTTAGTGGTGCAGTGAACTTTGTCAGACACTTGAGGGTGTTTTCCTGATGCTGTCAGGGCTGGCTGCCTTGGGAATCACCTGTCAGGCCCACTCCGGAATCCCAGCCCTACCACTCGCTTGCTACTTGACTCTGGCCAAGTTAATTCATGTGCAGGACCCCAGCTCTCTCTTCTGAACATGGAGTTACTATTCCTTGCTTGCCAGGGTTGGTGTGAGGCACAGAGGAGGTGTGAGCAACAGTGATGGTCATACTGTGTGCTGTGGAATGGGTAGATCACACTCCCTGCCCTCCAGGAAACACCCTCACTGCTGCAGCCTGAGTCACGGTGAGACCCTCCACCGAGGCACGGGAGAAAGAGCACTGGGCACATGGGAAGACGAAGGCCCTGGCCCCAGCCTGTGCTGTGCCGTTGAGGCAGCTGCTTCTTGAGGGGGTCTCAGCCTCCTGCTGCCACTCTGCTGGGTCGGTGACAGGTGACAAACAGTGATGGGGACATAGCAGTTGCCTGCTGTCAGGGAGGGGTCTTCCCAGGGTGCCTCAGCAGCCAGAGGTGTGCTGGGGAGACACGGAAGCTGCAGGGTCTCAGGCCTCAGACCAGAAACTAATAACATTAGGGGCATGTGGGAGGGAGGTGGGTGGATCTGAAATCATTGAGACTGATTTATTGGTTAATTATTGGGTTTTTACCACCCCAGACTTCCCCAGCTGTGTGTGGGGATAGGGAGGGAAGGAGCTCCTGGGAGGCTAGCTGGAGGACACGCATGGCCCAGTTCTCCTGAGCCAGGGGCACCAAATGGAATAACACAAGGCGTTTGGACCAGGGAATGCACCCACGACTTTATGCCCAGGTAAAGCCTGTCTGGACCGGCTGGCCTGAGCTCTGGAACAGAAGTCTGCTAAGCAAGAGGTCTGGGGTTTCCAGGGCACCAGTCAGGTGTGGGGAGTTACGGTTTTGGAAAAGGATCAGGAAGAATCAAGAGAAACCGTGGAAACTGAGGAGATGCCCCAGAGGTGGAGAAGGAAGAAACTTGAGTAGAAAAAGTTAGACCAGGTGTGGTGACTCATGCCTGTAATCCCAGCACTTTGGGAGGCCAAGGC